AAATTAGCCTTGAGAACGGGTTTGTCCCATTGATTTGGTTAGTTCCTCTTTCTCTTATGGATTCATCTATGTTATTTGTTCATGTAAATAGGTTAAATGCTTTCTATCTTCCTTTCCTTGTATTTGCATAACTGTCAGACCTACAATTTACTCAATTTCAATTTCCAGATTTAATTTTAGAAGTTTTCAGACTTTAATTATTTCATAGATTCTCCTTCAGTTGTTGTTATCAAGTAGTTTAGTTGATTTTATTTTAAATCTGCAAGTAATTAATTTAACTGTTATGGATTGCGTAGTGGAAATCGTTGTCTGTGATTTTACATTTTTGTTGTCTGCGAGCTTTATTTTTGTAGCATGTTGTATTCTTTTATTGATCTCATGTTAGATTAATTGCCTTAGGATTTTGTGTTAATTTTAGGATTTGTAGCTTGTATTACACTTTTGTGGCTGTAGAGTCCTTGGAGGTTTCCAAGGCAATTAGTAACCCATTTCGCAAAACTCCACCCTTTGTTTTGCAACATCATCTGGGACACAATTTATTTCACAGACGTTCTTTCTAACCATTCTATTGGAGGTCGACCATTGGAAAGGAGAAGAGCTGTTTGGAAAATCCTATTTTTTTGTTTTTAGACAAAGCAAGTGGCATGCCTAACATCCAAACTCACGTGGTCAAGGCCAAGTAAGGATTTTTGGAGAAACAATCCTTTGTTGGCACGCATAGTGGGACAACTAGAAAGGTGTATTAGTTAAGGTTCATAGATCCTTTGTTTAAACATCCAAAGGCATTTGGAGCCATGCCATTGAGAAAGAGCAGAGATAAAGAGGTTCAGCTAGCCCAGGTTGAACATGCAAATGATAGTTTAGTTTACTCAGAGGGTAAGAATGATCCAGTTGTTCCTCCTCTCTCGTCACCCTTTGTGGAACGATCTTATGGCAAGCCAATTTTCAAAGAAAAGGATGCAAATCGCAAAGATGGATTTGCAGAGTCATGTAATGTAATTAGAAATTTGACTGAACATCTTGAGATATCATGTAGAGAGTAGACCCACGATATTCAGAAAATCATTGAGAGGCAAGCAGAATCTTTTAGACAGCATGATGAGGTGATGAGACAATATATGGTTGAATTGGGACGGATTTTTGAAAAAGGCACTAGGGTGATGCATGAAACTAGAGATGAGAGTCGCGGAACACTACAAGCTGTTTCTCGACAAGTTGTTGAGCAACTGCGATGACCCAAACCTGAGGTCCCTCATCTAGCCATGGAAATGCCCATACAGATTTAGGAAGCCCCGATCTAGCACTCGGGGGGCAAGGAAATCAACCTCATCCCAACGTTCAATAGCAAAATTTCTTCATTGGTGAAGGGCAAAGACAACATGAACCAATGGAGGCTGCTACTCCTGTTGCAGACCATGGCCATCAACCTCAGCACAGGTATATTCTACCAGCTAGGAGGGGAAATGTTGGTCCTCACCATCAACCCCATCCAAGGGATTTCTTCCGACCACAAGTTCCATTAGCCCAACGGTTACAACACGGTAACCAACTCAACTATTCAATAGAGATTAGCTAATAAATCTGGTACAGGAGACCTATAGGCCAGCCTTAAGGCCATTGGAAAAGATTGATAAGGGCATCCTAAATTTTCCAAACAAAGCGAAGGAAACCATAGGAGTAAACAATGATCGTTTTCCAATTGTGTCTGTTGGTGTGAATGATGCAGACTTGAGGAGTGTTGCTAGAAACCGTAGTTTGCCTTATGTTGAAGACTTAAGGTGGGTTATTGAAGCACAAAGATCCAGACATAACATGAGCGTTAGGTCAGACCAGCAAAGGCTCGGGGGGCAAGGAAGGATTATTGTGACTAGGAATTTCAACCCAGAAAGTATCAGATCTCATTTAGCTAGTACTAGAACTCCAAGGATGGTTAAATCACCACTCAGGTCACCTTCCAAACGATGGGAGAAAGTTAGTCACCCAAAGTTTCCAACCCAGAATCCCAGAACCTTAAGACACAGACTATAGCGCAAGAGGGCTGAAGAGCAAAAAAGGCAACATAAGCAGATGGAGGCTGAGGAAAGTTCATCTTGCAGACCACACCAACCTACAAAAAGGAACATGGTGTGGGTGAGAAAAGAGAAAAAGGAAGCTGTAACTCAAACTTTATTGGAGGGGGAAGACCAGACTCCAACCTTTCCAAAGGTGGCATCTGTCACTGTGGGTGCACATAGATGTTGAAAACAACTTTTGAAGCGTAAGAACAGTCAAGAAATCCTAGAGGTGGATCAAAAGAAGATGACACTATTCATTTTTGGGAAATTTTCAGTGAATTTGTCATGTCTGGTACTAACGCTACCCTTGGTTTTCCAAGCCAAAAGTGAGGAGGAACCAATTGTCTGTGAGTTCCTAGAACAAACAGAAGAAGAGGCAATCATGGTTCCAGCCTAGGATGATGGAGAGGAGGACATAGCTGAGAAAATTAGTGTTTGAAAAACCAAAAGAAAAGATAGCCAGACACATTAGGCCATTTTATATCAATGCTTACATAGATGGGACTCCAATCAACTGTGTCTTGGTGGATAACGAAGTTGCGGTCAATGTCCTTCTAACTTGCATGCTTTATAAAATAGGCAAGTCTCTTGATTATTTAGTGTATACCGATGTTACAATTGGTGATTTTACAAGAAGGGTGAATCATTCAATGGGCATATTGCCTGTTGAGTTAATAGTGGGAAATAGGAAACTGATGTCTGCATTTTTTATGGTGGACACTGTTGCTACTTATAATGCACTTTTGGGGCATGACTGGATCCATTCAAGTTGGTGTGTCCCTTCTACACTTCACCAGAAGCTGATTTTCTAGAATGGTGGCAAGGCTAAGGTGGTGTCTATAGATGATAACCCTTTTTCAACTAATACCCACCTAGTGGAGGCTAGATATTATGAAGAAGACATTAGTACCATTCGATTTTTTGGGATGGATAGACATGGGAAGCCGATTGGGATAACAACATGCAGTAAACCGTCATTGTCTAAGCAGGTGGTAGAGGAAGTCTATGATGAACTTCTTCGGCCAACAACAATAATTCCTTATAGGCTAAAGGGGACACTAAAAATTGAAGAAATCTAATGAAGCAAGCTCGTCTGAGAAAAGACAAAGAAAAGTTCATGTTGGAGATAATAAAAAAATTAGCGACCTACTTTGCTGAAAAAGTAGTTCAAGTAGACAGGTCTAAAATTGTTTGTGAAAGAGAAGAGTAGACCAGGGTGATGAAATAACCTTGGAGGAGTTGGATCTTGCCCCAACCAAATTGGATGATTTGAAAGCTGAAGTTCAAGACCCATTGGAGGAGATTAATCTTGGGTTTAAAAGTGAGCCAAAGAAATGTTAGGTCTAGATCGTAAGTTGATGGAGTATAAATTGCTAGTTGCAGAAAGATTTAAACTGTATAAACAGTTGCCCAGACGCATGTCTATAGAGGTCACCTTGAAGGTAAAAAAAAAAAAAAAAGGAATTGAGCAATTAGTAAAGGCTGGATTCATCAAGACATGCAGAAATGCAGAATGATTGTCAAATGTGGTGCTGGTGCTGGAACCCTAGGAAGCTATTAGAACTAGACAGAGTTAGTTGTGAAAAAGTTGGGAATACTTGCTGCAATCATCTTGGGATTTAGCAGATTCTACACGTGGCCTTTGGAGTCTGAAAGGTAACTTAAAATTTAAACACTTGGATTTATTCTCATAAAACCAAGTGTTGGGGGCCATTGTTTACACCTAAAAATAAACCAATGAGAAAAGACCACGTGTCAAGTTGAAGCCTGATTATCAAGAAAAGTCAACAGGTTGGATTTGGGCTAGGCTAGATTACAGTTTAAGGACCCAGACAAAATTTTAAAGAAGCTGGATTTCATGTGACAAAAGATAAAATAATTTATGGTGTTTGAGGTTGGTTTAAAGTAGGAAGTTGAGGTTTTTAGGAGGAGGTTATCCCTAGGGTTTTATTGAAGATAAAATTGAACCAAAAATAGAAAATTGCCAGACAATTGCCAGACAACCGCCAGACATGGAACCCCCACTACTCGATCATGGTGGGAGAGGATCAAGAAACATGGAAGAGGTTTTCTAGCACTGAAGAAAATAAAAACAAGAAGAAAAAATCAGTTCCAAACAGCCTGCCCTACACACACTGCCTAGAGCATATGTTTTTCAACTTTTAGACTACTTTTTTCATATTTCAACATAGTTTCCTGATTAGTTTGCAAGATCTATTCTTGTTCATAGCTTTAGTTTAGGTCTTTCCATTCTAATTGATATCTTTCCTAAAAAATTTCACCTTGGGTTAGTTTTTAAGCATTTGGAACCAGATTAGTCTTGAGAACGAGTCTATCCCATTGATTTGGTTAGTTCCTCTTTCTCTTATGGATTTATCTATGTTATTTCTGAAATCCCAGCTAGCAATTTATAAGTTATTGTGCAGAATAAACAAGAGTAATATAGTGCAGAAAAATAAAAAGAAAGGGAAGAGAAAATCAAGCCGTGATTTATAGTGGTTCCTCCAACCCGGAGTACGTCCACTCCCTAAGCCTCCTTGCTCGAGAGTTCAATCCATTAGAAATCTCTTGCTTACGGGTGCAAGATTAAACCGGAACAACCTCTTGCTTGCGGGTGCATGATTAAACCGTCACAAGTGAATCTCAACTCACTCAACCCCTTCAAGGATTAACCCAATCCAAGAAGAATACAAAACCCTTGTAAGACAATATACCCAAAAGCTTACAAGAAGAAAAGAAGAAGGAAACCTAGAACAAAATCAAACTCAGTTTTCTGTAGTAGTCGTCCTTCTTCTCTCTCTGAATTTTTCAGATCTGAATTTGATCATTTTAATAGAGATTTGGAGCCTTGCAATTAAAGTCCCTTCAAAGCCACCTCACAAAAGCTCCAATAAGGTTCCACCTTTTTCTTCTAACTTGTCTTGGAAAGTGCTAAGGCATTTAGGTCCCCTATGACCCATTAAGAGTAAACAGATAGTTGAGCTGTCAAAATTAACTTTCCAGAATTTTTGCTTCGAAGCCAGAAATATTGCTTCGAACCATTTTCGGAAAACAAAAGTCCGAGATTGATTCGAACCAAAATAAATTGGTTCGAACCCAGAACTCTGAACAAGGAAGAACATGAATTAATTCTAATCGTGGGGAAAGATTAGAAACCTTGGATTAATTTTCCTGCACACTTAGCACAAAAATAGATTAAACTCTTTTGAATCATGGTTTAAAATCATCATCAAAATACAAAGAGAACCTAACAATTTCTTCATGTAAATAGGCTAAATGCTTTCTGTCTTCTTTTCCTTGTATTTGCGTAACTGTCAGACCTGTAGTTTACTCAATTTCAATTTCCATATTTAATTTTACAAGTTTCCAGACTTTAATTATTTTATAGATTCTCCTTCAGTTGTAGTTATTAAGTAGTTTAGTTATTTTTATTTTAAATTTGCAAGTAATTAGTTTAATTGTTATGGATTGCGTAGTGGAAATTATTGTTTTTGATTTTACATTTTTTATTGTCTACAAGTTTTATTTTTGTGGCATGTTGTTTTCTTTTATTGATCTTAAGTTAGCTTAATTGCCTTAGGATTTGTGTTAATTTTAGGATTTGTAACTTTTATTACACCTTTGTGGTTGTAAAGTCCTTGGGGGTTTCCAAGGCAATTAGTAACCCATTTTGTAAAACTCCACCCTCTATTTTGCAACATCATTTGGGGTGTAATTTATTTCATAGACGTTCTTTCCATCCATTTTATTGGAAGTCGACCATTGGAAAGGAGAAGGGTCGTCTAGAAAATCTTGTTTTCTTTTTGGTTAAAATCCCTTTTTGGTCCCTGAACTATTGTATAGACCCCCGATTTGGTCCCTAAACTAAAAAAATCCCTGATTTGGTCCCTACTGTTTACCATTTTTACCTCGATTTAGTCCTTCCGTTAAAAATTGTGTGACGTGGCCTATTATTTCACGGTTACCAAATGACATGTCATATAATAATCCACGTGGAAGATAATATAACCAAAAAATGATGATGTGGAAAAAATAATAATATAAAAAAATTATTATGAAAAGTAAAACTTAAAATTTTTTTTCTTTTATCTTTTTTTCCTTTTTCTTTCTCCTTCCCCTTTCCCTTCTCTTTCCCCTCGGAATCCAACAGGCCTGGGTTCCTTCAAACCCACCCAGGCGTTGGGTTCGCAAAGAACCGAACCCAGCACGCTTGCCTAGGTTGGGTTCCAAGGAACCCATGTGTTGGGTTCCCTTGAACCCATGCCTGGGTTCCAAGGAACCCATGTGTTGGGTTCCCTCAAACCCACGCCTGGGCTCTTCAAACCCAACTGGAACCCAGCAGCGAACCAGCTGGGTTCCATGGAACCCAACCTCAGGTTTGACGGAACCCAGGCGTTGGGTTCGAAGGAACCCAGGCATTGGGTTCGAAGGAACCCAGGCATTGGGTTCGAAGGAACCCAGGCATTGGGTTCGAAGGAACCCAGGCATTGGGTTCGAAGGAACCCAAGCGTTGGGTTCCCTCGAACCCACTGTAATATCCCAAATTTTCGGGAATTTTATCATTTAAGTTAAGGACTAAATTGTGGAAAAAGATTGTTTTAGGGCTTATTAGCCAAAATGTCCAAACTTGAAGGACTTAAAGAGGGAAAATTTGGATAAGGATGGCTGATTTCTTTTCTCCTTTTTTTTTCTCTTTCTTCTCAGCCTGATTATGCTCTTCTTCTTCTTCTCCCCGTTGCAGCCACCCGAAAGAAGAAAAAAAAAGGGAACCCGACACCAGCCTTTGAGAAACCGGTAAGAAGCTTGGATTTTTGCCTTCATTTTCTTGTTCAATAACCAGATTTAAGCTTGGAATTTCTCTCCCCCCCCCTTGCAGAATCCGGATCTGCTCTGCTCTGCTCTGTCCGGTTGCTACTCTTGCCGGTTATGGGTGCAAATTCCTTTGAATTTTCGGTAAGCAACAGCCATTAATTCCCTTGTTCTTGTTTGAATTGGCTTGGGTTTACTATAAATCCTCTTGGTTTCTCCAATTTTGGGTAGACCCGTGAGCTTCCCTGCACTTCCAGCCGGCCTTCCCTTAGCTGCAATCCGGTTTTGCTAGGAAAATTATGGTATGTGGCAGCTCTCCTAAGTCCCAATTCACCCCTTTAATTGCTGAAATTATCCATTTGAATTATGCCCCATGTGCTATCCGAAAATTCTGCAGAAAAAGGGATGAATTTTGGTAGTAATTATAGCATAATTAAGCTTAATTCATGTGTAAATTGCTTGAGTTGGTTGCTATGATTTTTGGAGAGAAAATCCCATGAATTAGCTAGTGTTTTGGCCAATTTTGGAAGTGTAGTTACTGTTCACGGCACTGATCACAGAACATTGTTCATGCACAGATGGGCAACAATTAACGGGGATTTAAATGATTAGTTTGTGATATAAGAATGAATTTGGAGATATCTGATAATGTGGAGACTGATAGAAATAGCACTGTGATTAGGAGTAGTCCTAATGAAGTTTCACTTGAATTTGTGATAGTATAGAATTAATCCTTGAATATTTTGATTAGGTTCTTGATCATTCTGTCAGTTAGCATTGAGATTGAGTTTTCGATTTTATGCAAGTGAGGTAAGTAAATTTATGGTAATGCCCGTACTATTTTTAAAAGCATGTTTTGATTTGTTTTTGAAGTGGTGGCGACACTAAACCCGTTTTATGCAAAAGTAAGTATGACTGATTTTAAGTGCAATTTTTATGCTTTTCATTAAATTGAGCATGCCTACTTGAATTTAATTGATTGTCCTGATGATTTGAAAGTGATTGGTGATTTATGCTTTTTCTGTTAACTTCTGCCTGTTTTGTCTCCGATGTGGTTATGTTATTAATGATCCTGTAAGTTGGGGTTAAACGCTAGCACATGTCGACATGTTATTGATAGAACCGGTTCATTCAACCCTGCTAGTGGGGGTTATACACCAGCAAATAGTGTGCCTGCCAGTGGGAGGTTTATAAAACTAGCTGTGACCTATAGAGGAGACGTCTATTTCGTTCCCGTACTGTACCCGTTTTTCATGATTACGCTTGTTGGCATGCTATAAGTTTAATAAGGGGCACTCCATAATTTACTTACTGAGTTTATCTCATAGTTTTCCTTGTCCACCATTTCAAGAAGCGAAATCGAGGACGGAAAAACCACGGGAAGTGACGAGTTAGAAGGCTAGCCATCTTGTAAAGTGAACATAGATTTTGGATATAAGTTATGATCTTGTAAGCTAGAGTGTATTTGGAGATTTTATGATATCAGAGCAGATTTATAATATTATCTTCAGATTTTGTGGTATCAGATTATAATATGATAAGTTCCGAGCCTTGTGTATTTATGGGACCCTCTCACGAGTGCACGGCGTCTGTCGCGCCTCAAATTTGGGTTTTGGGGTGTGATACCCACGCTTGGGTTCTTTGAACCAGCTGGGTTCCATGGAACCCAACCCCGGGTTTGACGGAACCCAGGCGTTGGGTTTCAAGGAACCCAAGCGCTAGGTTCCCTTGAACCCACGTCTAGGTTCCATGGAACCCAACCCTGGGTTCCGTCGAACCCAAAGGTAAAAAATATATATATTTTTTCTATGGGTATGGTTGTTTGATGATGATGAAGAAAGCAAGGCAAGGAAGAGGAAGGGGAAGGAAAAAAAAAGGGCACTGTTGAGTTCGATTCAACCTAGGTGCTAGGTTTGTTTGCTGGAGGAAGAAGATGATGGCAAATTCGTAATTTTGGTGGGCCCCACTTTTGTTGGGTTGGGCAAGAATATGACATGTCACGTTGCCATGTCATTATTTATTCATTTATACAACTGACGTGTCTCAAATGTTTGACATGTCATCAAATTGTTGTGAGATAATGGTGAGATTTTAACGGAAGGACCAAATCGGGGTAAAAATGGTAAACAGTAGGGACCAAATTAGGGATTTTTTTAGTTCAGGGACCAAATTATGGATTTTTTTAGTTCATGGACCAAATCGGGGGTCTGTACAATAGTTCAGGGACCAAAAAGGGGTTTTAACCTTTCTGTTTTTTTAATAAAGCAAGTGGCACGCTTAATATCAAAACTCATGTGATCAAGGCTGGCTAAAGATTTTTGGAGAAACAAATAGATTAGAAAATTTCACTATAACATGAATAGAAAATACCTTTAAAATATATTAATATAAGAGAAAAGTACATATCACTCTCGACTCTAAAAGTAAATTGGAGTTTCAACCTTAAACTACATTATTTTATTTAATTAAAACTTAATTTAAAATTTAATAATCTATCTTATTAAATGTTGGTATTTAGATTTAGATATTAATTATATTAAAATATATAATTAGCTTTTAAATTTGATAATAACATTCAATAGAGTGGAATTTTGAATTTTGAATTAGGATTTCAGTTTCTAAATATAAATTAGAACTCTAATTTTTTTGGAAATCGAGATTGATACTTACTAACATCTTAATATAAATCATATATTAGTTGACTCTAGTTATGTTGTTAACTAGTTGAGTTACTAACATCTTAATATAAATCATATATTAGTTGACTCTGGTTATGTTGTTAACTAGTTGAGTTGAGTCGAGTCAAATAGTTAGGCACTAGCACTTGAGCTCGCTTTAAAAATTTGAGCTCAATTTGAGCTCAAGTCAACTTCGAGTATTTGTCAAACTTAAAATAGTTGAATTCATATTCAAACTCATAGGTATTTGAACAAGTTCAAACTTACTTATGAACTCGAACCAATGAGTACTTTAACTTAAATTCAAGTTTTTTTCTTTTGTAATTTCAAAATATTTCAATAATTAATTATTTAATCATAAATTCTTTTATATTTTTAAAGTATATTCTAATACCAAAAGTTTAAACATATTAAGCCCAACAATAAAAAAATTATAAACTCCATTTGAATATTTTTATTAATAGTTATAACTTAAAATACGTAACTTATTTAAGTTATTTTTTAAACCTTATTAAGTTTTAAAGTTATTATATGTTTAAATTTAACAACTAAATAGATAATATATTTTTTAATTTGAAATTGAGTACTCGCAAATAACTCATGAATAATCATAAGACTAAAATTCGAGCTTGTTCGATGTTAAGTGTAATATCCCAAAATTTTGTGATATTTTAGCACTTAGTTAAGAACTTGATTGTGAGGAAATATTATTTTGGGACTTAATAGCCAAAATTTCCAAACTTGAGGGATTAAAAAGAGGAAAGGATTTGGATAAGGATCCACTATTTTTTTTTTTTTTCCTTCTTTCTTCTTCCTCAGCCCGCGTGCTTCTGCTCTTCCCGACCCCGCTGCAAACCGAAACAAAAAAAAAAAAAGAAACCAAGCTGCCGGCAACAATCTTCTTGAGAAAACCGGTAGAAAGCTTGGATATTTCTCTTTCTTTTCTTGTTCTAAGACTGAAATTGAACCCAGAATTCTTCCCCCTGCAGAGAAAATCCCAGATCTGCTCTGCTCTTCCTTCCTTGTCCGTCGGTTTCCACTATGTGGGTGTGAATTTCTGGGCTTTTTCCGGTAAGCCACAGCCATGAACTCTTTTCAGCTTGATTTAGCTTGGGTTTATTTTAAATCTGTTGTTTCTTCAAATTTTGGTAGCCCCGTGAGCTTCCCCTGCACTTCCCGCTGGTCTCCCCAAGCCACAGCTCCGGTTTTTGCTGGATTTCTGGTATGTGACAGCCCCCTTAAGCCTAAAATTATCCATTAGTTGCTGAATTTAGTCCATGAATTACTGCCCCATGTGTTGTCCGAATTTTGTTGAATTAAGGGGATGAATTCCGGTAGCTTTAGGACAAAATTTAAGCATTAATTCAAGTGGAATTTATGTGATTAAGTGTTAATTGACTGCTGTGAGATATTGGAGAAAAATCCCGTGAGATTAGCTATGGTTTTGCCAATTTTTGGAAGTTGCAGTTACTGTTCACTGCGTGATCACTGTTCGCGGGTACTGTTCACGGATACTGTTCACGCACTGATGGCCAACAATTAATGGGGATTAAATGTTTAGTTTGTAATATAAGAACAAATTAGAGATGTGTGGTCATGTGGAAACTAATAGAAATAGCATCGTGATTAGGGTAGTCCTAATGATGATTTCACTTTGAATTTGTAGTAGTGCGGTATTAATTCTTGGATATTGTGGTTAGGTTCTTGATCCTCGGGGTAATTTAGTACGTGGATTGAGTCCTCGGTTTTATGCCATTTGAGGTAAGTAAATTATGATAATGCCTTCAACTTTAAAAGTATATTTTAACTTGTTTTTGAAGTGGTGGCGGGACTAAACCCGTTTTCTACAAAAATGAGCATGATTGATTTGAAATAAAATTATTATTCTTTTTATTGATTTGAGCATGCCTGCTTGGAGTTTATTTAATTGCCCTGATGATTTGAAAATTATCCGTAACGTATGATTTTCTGTTAAATTCTGCCTGTTTTGTCTCCAATATGGTCATGTTATTCGTGTGCCCGCTAATCGGAAGTTTATAAACGCTAGCACATGTCAACATGTTACTGATAGAATCAGTTCGTTTCTATTATCCTGCTAGTGGGATTATACACTAGTAAATCGTGTGCCTGTCAATGGGAGGTTTATAACACTGGCCATAACCTATAGAGGAGACGTCTATTTCATTCCTGTACTGTATCCATTTTTCGTGATTATGCTTGTTGTCATGCTATAAGTTTAATTAAAGACTATCCATATTTACTTACTGAGTTATCTCATAGTTTTTCTTTGTCCACCATTTCAAGAAGCGAAGTCAAGGACGGGGAAAAATGAGGGGAGTGACGAGTTAGAAGGTTAGCCATCTTGTAAATTGAACATAGATTTTAGATATAAATCGTGATCTTCTAAGCTAGACTTTATTTGGAGATTTTTGATATCAGAGCAAATATTATAATTTTATCTTCAGATTTTGTGGTATCAGATTGTGGTATGATAAAGTTCCAAATCTTATGCATTTGTGGAATCCTCTTACAAGTGTACGGTGCCTGTCGCGCCTCGAATTTGGTTTTGGGGCGTGACGTTAAGCTTGAGCTTGACTCATTTACTAAAGCAGTCGAGTTCAAGTCGATCTTAATTCGAATAACTCATGAGTTATGCACGAACTACTTTACTCATCAACAGCCCTAAATATGATTAAATCAGATGCCTTAAAATTTGAGCTCTTGGTATCAATTAAGCTAATTTATTTTTTTTTATTAGTTGAGTTGATTAGTTCACTCAAATCTTTTAATTTCAATCATTTAGATTAAATTAAAATTATTATATTAATTAGTTTAAAATCTCTTTAACATGATATTTAATTTTTATCATTATATTATTTGAAGTGATTACTACTCTTATTAGAATAAAATTAGCTCATCATCCACCTCAAAACTAATCTTAAAAATTTATTAGTTTTTGAAACTAAACCTCAAAACTAATGCTTGGTTGCCCTGAAGTTCGCATCCCTCCCTATCGGTGTAATGCATCCAAGTAAAATTTTTTAGGTGCTGTACCAAAGCTTGACCTTATAGATTAAATTTGCTTATTAGCGTATTAACTTCAATTTATGATTGTTGAATGTTTAATGAGTTAGTAGGACACATTACATATTCTATAACTATTATTTTAGGATTATTGATAAAGAGTGAGTCACCTCAATAGTTAATAAAATGTGTAATTTATGTGTGATTCCTATAACTTTTATGATATTCAATAGTTAAAAAACAACTACGGGTGTCGCGCGGATGAGTAACAAATTAATAAGTTTATGAAAATGTAAAATTATGTTTTAGTTATGTTTAAAAGTACAAAAAATTTAAAGTATTAGTTGTATTTTTTTTTTTTTTTTGTTAACAATTTATAAACATGTGTAGTGTTTGAATTTTAGCAGTGTAGTGTTTGAATTTTAGCAATGTGTCCCTTTTGATCATGATTACCTATTGGATCTTTTGAAACAATGTAATATGAAATGTGTTGATTG